TCTCTTTTGGCGCTTTTGTTTCGTAATGCCCCTTTTACGAGACGATGTTCGTTTTTTTTCTTTTTTTTTTTTTTTTTTTTCTTTTTTTTTTTTTCTATCATACGGAGTTCCCGTGCGTCCTCGGGTGAGACGAGACGCATGCTTTTTTCAAGTGTCTACATATGCGGGCAGTGACGTGAGTCACATTTTTCGGTCAATGGTGAATATATTGAGTTATACGTCGTGCACAACAAACACTTGGCTAAATGAATTTCCTTTTTTTTTTTTCTTCCAATTTCTTCGAACCCCCGCAGAAAAAGTACACATACATCGATGACGAGAAAAAAAAAAAAAAGCTCGATTAACCGCATTCACAGCGCAAATGTGATGGTTTCTCTACCTATTACACACGGACAATTCGTTCAAGCAACACCGTACCGATGTATAATAATGTTAGTATGCATGCATTATTTGCCTATTTTTCTAGGGGTTTGCACAAGTAATCGAAACCGATCGATGAATAACCAACGATGCACATCCTCTGTATTCGCCCAAACGGGACATATTTAATTCAAACAATCCCCTGATGGAAATTCTACCCCCGTGAAAAAATGGAGATACAAATAAACCCTTGATTGTTTTATCGCGAACCGGATAAAAAATACCTAAAAAAAAAAAAAAAAAAAAAAAAAAAATCAATCGAACCAGCCGCGTCGTCAAAGTAGAAAGTACAAATCATCCCCTCTGGATAAGTTCAGCAGCCACGTGGCAAGATGTCACGACCCGTCCGGTCTACCCCCGCAACGGTGGTTCCACATGTAGCACACACAGACACATCCCAACGAAAACACCAGCCATCAGTAACTGTTACAGATGTATACACAAGTTACGTCATCCCCGACCCTATCTCTCTCCCTCTGTCCACGTACAATAAAACCCCCCGCATGATCCCGGGACGGATCGAAGTGCACGTTGAGCGTCTCGGCATGCGCCCCGATGTTCTTACCCAACGCCGGTTATCTCGCTCACAAAGATTTCTCATATTACAATCGTGTAAGGCCTGTAAAAAAATAATTTCAGCAGTTGGCAGGTAATTTTTTAANCCAGTGTTCCAGCTAAAGATCCGAGCCAACGGCACGTTTACAACCTTTATTCGGTGATAATGCATCAAGGGGCGACAATGACAGCCGGTCATTATGTTGCGTATACGCGCTTGCCCGGTGAATCGTCTCATGATGAATATCAGCAATGCGAACGTGATAATGCTCAACTCCAACAAAAACAGGTGAAAATTTATGCTCATTTTTTTGTTTTTGTTTTTTTTTTTTCTAATAACCAAAATTACACGATTTTAATGTAACTTTGTTGTCTCCCGCAGCCAAATAATTCAACTAATGCTCACCAGAACGGTCAGCACAGCTCAGACAATAGCAAGATCACAGCTTTTTTCAGTTGCTTTGGCAACAAGCCCACTGAGAACAAGGGAGTACCTTTGCGAGGTAAACAACAACAGCAGCAAAAAGCTCAAGGCTGCAGGGGCAACGAATGTTGCGGTATCAGGCAGACGGCCCGCCAAAGTAGTGGTACGTGGCTCGAGTGTGACGATGAGGCGGTCCGTGTAATACCCACACGAGAACTTCAAGACAAGCTCGCACCTAATCCCAGAAATTCTGCCACACCTTACCTTCTCTTCTACGTGAGATCTACGGCGACGGCGACTTCTACGACTGCAACAGCTACTACGGTGACCACGACGTCCGCGACGGCGACATCGACCACGACTGCGACAACTACGACGATGAGGACTATGACGACTTGAAGCTTTTCAACAGCCGTCGATATCACGGTGATGAAAATGCATGTATATAAGAGGATGGTTGTAGTTATTTCAGTGATGTAAATGAAAGGAGAATGATAATAACGTATTTTCATGCTTTTTTTCATTGACTAGTGCGTCTTAAGTTTTTATTTTATTCATGCGAACTTGATCTGTGCTTAAATCCGTATTTTAATATTTTTATTTTTTTTTTTTTTTTTTCATATTTTTTTTTTACTTAACGAGCAAAACACGCATGAGTTGTCAATATTAAATTTTGAGAGATGTGTGATATTTTTATAAGCTGTATTTTTAGGTCGAGTAAATTTTTAAGAATCTCGTAACTTTAAGTTCTGAAGTTATTGTATATACCTCCTAAATCCATAAACGGTGCACAGTTGACTACTTATACCCTTATGTAATGGAGTTGTTAGTAGGTACGCCATGTCATTTTCTTTCTCATGCTTCAGCAAATATTAAATGGCCGCGGGTATTATATGCTTTAGCAGATGCGAGAAAGTGCATTGTCCATGTTTCCTCACTTCTGTCTTGTTATGCTCGTTCGATTCGTCCACTTGAGAGCAAAACGTAATGAACATTTAGCCATGCGCTATTGGCTGCCTGCCTTTGGACATTGTATCTCATAATATTCTGAACGCTTGCACCGTCAAAGGGTAAAAAAGATCATAAAATATGGTACTCTTTTTATGAGTATAAAAACATGATAGAAAATTGTATGAATGGATTCATTTTTCATTATCATTATTATAATTTTAATTNTTCGTTATTGTCATCTTCATTATTATTATTATTACTTTTATCATCAATATTATTTCTCATATTACAATCGTGTAAGGCCTGTAAAAAAATAATTTCAGCAGTTGGCAGGTAATTTTTTAACGTTGGAAAGTAGAAAAGTTATCAAATAAAAGAAGAAAAAAAAAGTTTTCATGGTGATTCGTGAAATGCGCAATATTTTTTGTGAATATTTTCCACAAGTGACAAAAAAAACTCATTTTCAGTCAAAGTCAATTTTTTTTCAATCAAAAAAAAAAAATACTCGGATCTTCCCCTGTGAAGTGTGTATAGCTGTGTCTTGTTCCCGATGACTTACAAAGCTCGGTATCGAAATTGTAAAGCCATATTATTAAAAAAAAAAAAAATATACATACTGTCAATAACAGTTGATGACGCATTTATTTATTGATCATAAGATTACTTTTATAGTCGACTTTGGTGAATATTTTGTATCGACATGAAAATAATAGATAATGGTTGAAATAAATTTAAAACAAATATTACACAAAACACTGGTTTGTTGATTTTTTTAACACACCACCACACGTATCAGTTGATTTCGCACATAGTGTTTTATCAAGTTATATCGTTTACCAATTACAAGTGCACAAGCTCAACTGTTGTAGCAAAAGGAGCAAAAAGCGCTTATCTCGCACAATTAAATAACGTTAACATTATTACACGTTCAACGTTTACTACGCGTGCGTAGAGACCACGCTTGCTTATTTATTTACCTTCCTGCCACCCTAAACCGTCAATGATGTACAGGGAGCCTGTTTCCATACTTCACAGAAATACCTGATGAGCACCAAGGTCCAGTCCGAAAAATTCCAGCAAAAAAGCAACGAGCAAATGGTGATACCCTTGAAAAATATTCAACTTTTTGGAAAATGACCCATTTACCGTCCATAAGTATACACACAGACACCTGCTGCCGTGGCGTTGGTTCAAAGTGGTTACATATTATGTGCGCTTCTCCTCCACGAGTATTAAAATAATCCATATATCGAGCAACGCTTGTATCATATAGGGGTCAGTGGTGGGTGGCCGAGCCAGCAACCTGTGATTTGTAATGGTCGCGCGCGCGCTTTCGTGACTTACACCAAGGAGGACAAAAAAAAAAAAAAAAAGAATTACAGGGGAGGGCACCAAGGTGTACGCGTCAAATTACAAAGGAGCCATCAGTACTCGTCGGCTTGGCTTCAGGAGTTGTCGTTTATTTGTTTGCCTCAAGTTGACGCGTATCGGTGTAGTACACCAAATTTACGTTTTGAGTATTGTTTCGCGGAGTAACTGACAGAGACATGCAACACACCCGACTGATCCCGTTTTCCTAGATCTTTGAACTACACTCGTATTTACCTGCAGGTGAGTGGGCAAGGTTTTTTCGCTTCACACCGCGGATCGGCGTGCGTTTTGGTTTTGATGATTTCTCATGATTCTATGCTTGCTCTGCTTAAAACATATCTTTTGATGATTTCGCGTTGAATAACTGTATGCGAAAAATAAAAAAAAATAAAAAATGATTAGCTGCCTTTTGTGATGATTTGCCTTACGGAACATTTTTATACTATTTGACACCTGTACGATTTCAATCTATTGTTTTACCAAGATTAATTTTTAAAAAATCAATAAAGACAAACGGTACACATGTGGTAGAAAAATACATGACATTTCTTTACTTGCATATACACAACAACAACAACAATCGAGTTGTCTCGCCTGTAAAGAAAATCGGCAAGCGCGCGAGTTTGCGCCATCGGAAAAGGTAAATTACAGAATTTTGAAAACTCTCCTTCCCCGTCACTTGGATCACATGTATATTTCAATATTCGTATATATTATGTGTACAAACACGCACCACAACGCAAGTGCACGAGTCGAAGACAAATAAATAATTATGAGCTACAAAGAAATCGTCAAATATTTTTTATCCCCAAACTTGTAACTTTTGTTATCATATTGTGTGCCACCAGTATATACGTGTCATTCGTGACATGATATGACACAAGTATGTATACGTATCCGCTGATCGATAACCATGTGTGACGTGGTTGTTACGTTTACGTGATGGTTACATTTTTATTACACACATACTTATATCTCCCTGTAAGCGATAAGTTATACAACTCGGATAATCCGATACTTGCGTGAGCTATTTTTTCTTTTTTTCTTTTTTCTTTTTTTTTTTTTTTTTCCTTCACACAAGTGTACTTACACACGAAATAGACCGTATGTATATACGTATGAGTACAGGTGGCAGAGCTTGTACAAAAAATCCCGTGGATTCGAGGTCACCTCTGTACATAAGGACGTAGTTGGAGCTTGGATTAATTTTTTTTTCTTTCTTTCTTTTATCAATTTTCTTTCGTGTCGCAAGTGTGTACCCAAAAATTGTTGAAAGCGCACGTAGAAAGCACCGAGATTTAATTAAATTTGGCCGATCGAATTATTCAATGCGTATACTAATGTTTGCGTGATTCGCACGAATTACCGAGAATCTCGGTTATGATCGAGTTAACGGCAATTTGACGTTTATTGAATCCATTTACGCTAATAGCCGCACATTGTACATCCAATTGATACCGAGGGGAACGTTTAATTGTCGATTTCGCGCGAGTGTGACATTGTTCTCTTTGTCAGCCCTCGAAAATAAATGATGGGCAGTGAGATGAACTCAGGTTGAGGTATTTAAAAAAGTATTTTTTTACCATTTACCGAAAAAAAAAAAAAAAAAATGCTTGTACAGTCGAGAAGTAATTATAAAAGTTTTACAGTCGCATTTGCAATCGAGTCCATAGAAAATTTGACGTTGGATTTTTTAGTTAAATTGATCCCTTCGCCTGGAAAATCAGCAAAAACCTTTAAAAAAAAACGGAAAATTCGAGGTGTTTGTAAGTAACAATGAGTATTATGTACGGAGGGACAAAAGTAAATTCGTGAAAAGTATTCCTTATGATACCTACTTATGGTCGATGTCATATTTATGTAGTATGCGCCCCTACCGCTGTGCACAAGCGTGGCCTACTTTGGTAACCAGAAGGAGGATGATGGTTATCGTTGTCCTAGTCGTGTCAGAGGTGCCGTACCTTGAAAATTTTATACCGATCGAGCTCTGTTGATTACGCTTCCACCCCCGAGACGCACTTTTATTTTTTTGGCTTTCAAATGAGCATAAAAACCCACTGTAATCGGCATTTTTTGTGTGTCCAACTCGTGGACAAAATAAAAGCTTTTCCTACTGGTTTGACATAGTTGCTAAACTTGGTTTGCTCGCTTGTTATGTGCCATTTACCTATCTGTTATTTATTTTTTTTTTTTATACTTTGGAAGTTTGCTTAACGAATCAATGTTAATCAAATTGTTTTTATAACGACTTTTGTAGATTGACAGAAAATGACAGTATTAGAAGCAGAGGAAGATACTGATGAGCACCCTAACCCTCCGAGGAAGAAACTTTGTCTCTCTCTATCTTTGTCGGAGAGACATAATCAAGGAGTTAACAAAAGTAAACCTGATACCCAGTCTGCTGGACGGGCTAGTACTAGCCAATTGCGTCCTATGCAATTGAGTAAGATTTAAAATTCTTTTTTTGTAAAGAGTATTAGTATTATCAATCAAGCTTTAATTAATGAATCATATTTTATTGTTTAAACAGATAACAAGCCAATAAAAATGTTGAATGACTTTCAAAGGCTAGGTAGCACTCACAGAGATCCTGCATATGATTTTTCATCCAATGTTATAACTGGAGGCTTGAAGATAGCAACTTTGTGTAACTTGGGAAATACCTGTTTTTTGAACAGTGTACTTTATACGCTACGATGCACACCATCTTTCTTACACAATCTCCATCATCTCGCAACAGACTTATCAATCATAAGTGAAAGACAGCTTCAAACTAAAGTACGTGCTGATTTCAAATTTATGTACATATTTGATTACGATTACATATTTGATTTTCTTGCTGTGTAATTGTAGACTCAACTTTTACATTGCAGATTAAAATATCCTCACTGGGTCGAACTGGTATATCATCTACAACAAGTAGCAATCGTAGTTGGAGCAACAAAGATCTCCCATCACTGACAGCTGCTAGTACAGCAACAGAACTGAATAAGCCTCGAATTCAAGTTGCTACTGAAAAGTTGCACGAATTGTTTATATCTTTGAGAGAATTGGAAGCAAGAGAAAATTCGGAACCGTTTCAGCCTGATGCTTTTCTACAAGCCTTGAGGTACAGCACTTTTTTTCATCTTTTATTTTTAATCACACTATAGATATATTCAATTACCATTAATTCTATTAGAAATTTGGTAACCAAACAGAGTTTTATTCATTTGCAGGGATGTCAATCCCATCTTTGAGGGTAATCAACAGCAGGATGCACACGAACTACTCGTCTGCCTCCTCGACAACATTCGTGAAACGTTCCAGCTGCTCGTTCGTCACCGAGAAAATCAATTCAACTGGCGAATCGATGGAGGTAGTAGCAGCCAAAGCGACTTTCTGCGAGACGGTAGGGCAGTGCAGTCGGATAGTAGCAAACGTGGAACACGCAAATCGCAAAAATCGAAAAAAAAGCCAACATCGAGCTCGATGCGAGCTTCAAGCGCGAGCGCACTTGTTCAGACCAACCTTAATGGTGCGATTGCCTCCAAAACTTTAAGCTTGCAACAGCAACAGCTCGAAAACGGCAGCATTACACCACTTGCTATGAGTAATGGTGAGCTCGATTCGCTCGGACCACTCGAGAATAAAAAGTGCTTTATTTCCGAAGACTTTGAAGGCGTCAGTCTGTTGCGAACCACGTGCCTGGAGTGCGAACAGGTCACAGAAAGGAAGGAGACCTTTTGTGATATATGTGTTCCAATTGAAATGGATCGCTCTAATGAGAAAGGTAATCCTTGAAAAGCACAAAAAATGTTTCGCCATAATTTGTGTATTTATCATTGATAACATTTTTATTATTTTCAGATGAAGATGGAAAGACCATGGATTCTAGTGCTATTTACAAAAAAGCAGTAGTGATGAGTGAATTGTTATGTGATAAAAATAAATACTGGTGTGCCACATGTCTCCGTTATAACGAAGCTAGACGAGCTATATGCTTTCCTTCATTGCCAAGATTACTTGTTTTACAGTTAAAAAGATTTTCTACTGCTGCTGGGTAGGCTAATTACTTGTCACGTTTTATTGCTTGAAAATGATCAATCATGAAAAAACTAATTAATTATTTTTACATCGCAGTTCCATGGAAAAAATTAATCATCACATGCCAACGCCTCTGAATCTTCAATGTTTCTGTGAAGAATGCAACATTATTACAGATCAGCTTCGCTACGGTTCTAGTTCGTCGTCCAGTGTTCCAGCTAAAGATCCGAGCCAACGGCACGTTTACAACCTTTATTCGGTGATAATGCATCAAGGGGCGACAATGACAGCCGGTCATTATGTTGCGTATACGCGCTTGCCCGGTGAATCGTCTCATGATGAATATCAGCAATGCGAACGTGATAATGCTCAACTCCAACAAAAACAGGTGAAAATTTATGCTCATTTTTTTGTTTTTGTTTTTTTTTTTTCTAATAACCAAAATTACACGATTTTAATGTAACTTTGTTGTCTCCCGCAGCCAAATAATTCAACTAATGCTCACCAGAACGGTCAGCACAGCTCAGACAATAGCAAGATCACAGCTTTTTTCAGTTGCTTTGGCAACAAGCCCACTGAGAACAAGGGAGTACCTTTGCGAGGTAAACAACAACAGCAGCAAAAAGCTCAAGGCTGCAGGGGCAACGAATGTTGCGGTATCAGGCAGACGGCCCGCCAAAGTAGTGGTACGTGGCTCGAGTGTGACGATGAGGCGGTCCGTGTAATACCCACACGAGAACTTCAAGACAAGCTCGCACCTAATCCCAGAAATTCTGCCACACCTTACCTTCTCTTCTACGTGAGATCTACGGCGACGGCGACTTCTACGACTGCAACAGCTACTACGGTGACCACGACGTCCGCGACGGCGACATCGACCACGACTGCGACAACTACGACGATGAGGACTATGACGACTTGAAGCTTTTCAACAGCCGTCGATATCACGGTGATGAAAATGCATGTATATAAGAGGATGGTTGTAGTTATTTCAGTGATGTAAATGAAAGGAGAATGATAATAACGTATTTTCATGCTTTTTTTCATTGACTAGTGCGTCTTAAGTTTTTATTTTATTCATGCGAACTTGATCTGTGCTTAAATCCGTATTTTAATATTTTTATTTTTTTTTTTTTTTTTCATAATTTTAA